GACGTGGCGTGGAGTTCTGAGCTTGTGTATAACTTTGTGCAACTGTGGCTTTCATCCATTCTTCTAAAGTTGCCTTGGTGATATCGTTGTTCAAGTTGGTCTTACAGGATAGGAAGAGTCTGCTCCGATGGCATCTATGTGGGTCTGTAGAACTTGAGAGCTTTGATGGGACAAACTTGTCAGATTTTTGTGGAATATGCTGGACTTGGGCTGTCGTAGCAGATCTCAACAAAGTGGTAACTCTGCGGGTTCCTCCATTAGTAGTCTTAGTAGTCTGGGGAACCATGCCCTGCTGGGCCATACTGGAGCTATCAGTATTATTACAAAATCCATCTCTTCCACCTTGTGGATGACTTTGTCTAGAAGAGACGACGGTGGGAATACATAGCCGAATAGATTCGTCCAATCAAACGAAAGGTCATTGGGTCTTGGGTCAGGAACTGGGCTGACATAAACTGGAAGTTGATTGTTCTGGCAGGTGGCGAATATATCTGTGTGTGGTATGTCCCATATCTTGGTTATCCAGCTGAAGATCTGTGGATGTAATGTCCATTCTGTTGCCACTATTCTCCCCCGATGTGAGAGGCTGTCGGCATGTTTAGTTTCCAGGGTACATGTCTCACTTCCATCTGGCAGTTGAAGGAGTCTGCCAAGGCAAACAATCATGTTGTTTCCGTCATCAGGGAGTTGGATCTGGTTTCTGCTTCTGAGTATAGGCCACTACTGTGGTGTTGACCTGATGATAGATGAAGCTGTGTTCTCCATTCCAGGATGGCGTAATATATGGCCTTCATTTCCCTTCAGGTGATATGGAAGTTCTCCTCTGTGTTCCACGATCCCTGCACTGTGAGATCACCCATATGGGCTCCTCATCCTTAATCTGATGCGTCTGTGAATAGATGGTGTTCAGGCGTCAGATAAATCAGAGGGATGCCACTCATCACATGTTCTCTGTGATTCCACCAATGAAGGTCTTGTAGCAAAGTGGAAGGTAACTGAGACTGAACTCGAGGCCCTTCGATTGTATGGAGTTTACCCATGTCTGTAGAGGACCTAGCCTCGGCCTTCCTCTGAAGGTCATATCCTGTAGAGATGTTAAGTTGCCTAGCAGACATCCACCACCTCAGTGACTTGCTGGGTTGACTTGAGATTGATTGGATCATCTTTATAGTCTTGTCGAATTGATCCTCTGGTGGACATAGATATCCCCTGTCTAGCTGGAATCTTGCTCTGATGTATATGATGTCTTGGACCGGAGTTATCATTGACTTGGCTGGGTTGACAAGGAATCCTATGGGTCTATAGGTTATAAGGAAGTCAGAAATTTCTTTCCCCTCTGCCGCTTGATCTTCCATGGTGATTATATCCCCGTTTCTTGTAGTAGTAGTCTGGCTGGCGATTGTGGCTTGTCGTACCTCAGCCTTGGTAACAAATCCTTCCTGGAAGCTGCTTGGACGCAGATGACTTATGGTCCCAGGGTCGCGTGTGAGAATGTGATGTTTAATGATCCCTCGACACAAGGCCTATGGTTGAAGCCTGGAAACGCTCGGCTGTATCTTGTTTCACTTCATCTATCACATTTCTAAGTTTACCATTGAAAGTTGCGGTCATTGATATCAGTTGCGACGTAATGAACTTCTTGGCCTGGCTAGGTATGGCCCTTGACCTAATCTGGTAAGAGCTGTTGTCGCTGTAGTCTCAGTAACTATGATGAAGTCCAGACTATGGATGATAGTAAATCTTCCTGCATCTTGAGAATTGAGTCAAGGAGGCTGTGAATTAGTCCGACTTGATCGGTCCTCATAGTCATTGGTGTTTCCGGCGCAATTGCTTCATGGGATGGTTGTAGAGGCGGAATGATGTGTCTGATTCCGGCGACAAACCAATTTATATATGCCCCGATATCCATGGAGTATCTGGCAACCGATGCTAATTCCTTGAAACGTGATGCTGTTAACGTAACATTCATGTTGAGATTGTGCTCTAATTTGTAGAAATCTTCATCCAAGCTTGGGAACTCTGGAAGTGCAGCATCATGCTTCTTGTATAACTTCCGTTTCATAGGTGCAACAGGTAGGCGTTCATCATGCATGGGCCTTATGGGATCTTATCTGTCAAATGGCCTACGACACTGCCCGTGTAACTGGGCCAAGGTAATGTCTGATGAATATGCTGAGATGGAGCAGGCGCACGACATCACCCATATTCAGGCATCTGGGTTGGTGAATCTTCTGTCACATGTGACAGAAGTCAGGGTTAGAAACTAACAGTTTTTGTCCACTAGTCCTTACAATGATAGCATAAAGCAAAACCCTTTAAACGGGCTAATTTCTACTAGCCTTTAGGAAACCTTTACTATTGGGCAGTTTGGTAAGGACTACAGGACTAGTGCCAATTTCTAACGCTGGAAGTGTAGGCATAAGGTGATAAAGCTCTTCAATAAGTTCCACAAAAGTGTAGCCTACGCTGTAATCTCGTTGGGGTGAGTTATCAATTCCGGCTCTGAGTAGCCTTGGGTATCTCCCGTTGGGGTTGGATAATCGTATCCTTCCGCTTCCACCCCATAGGCCTCATCATCCTCCAATGACCATGATTCCGGTATAATCCGGTAGGCTGGCCCATGGAGTCAGTGCGGCAGCCGTATGGTTTCTTCACTGTTGGCTGGCTGGACGGCTTATCAGTCAACTGGAATGCCACACTTCTTACACCCAGGGTTGGAGGGAGACTGCATGGCGACCTCACAAACCTAACGCCAGCTATACTCACGTGGGTGTTGTCTCTTCCAGCAGCACTATTACCTTAAACAAGCGTATAGTCGACGAAGTCATCTATATCCCCCGCCATTTTAACACATTATGGTCCCAAACCAGGTAACTGACCCAACATTTCTCTTAGGCCATGTCAAAATAGCTGCAATGGAAATCCTAAAACAAACATTTATAAAACTCCTTGATATCAAATGGCACCAGTTCAGTATGTGTCTGGTAAACATGCATAGTTTTGTTAGAAAGTATTGAATGGTTTTGAGTTATGCTCCGGAAACGACACCACCCTTATAGAACCTAAGTCAAACTTGTTGCCATGGAAACGTAAAACCTAAAAATTTTAAAAACTCCTAAATAGCAAAAGGCACCAGTTCAGTATGTGTCTGGTAAACATGCAAAGTTTTGTAAGAAATTATTTAACGTTTTTTGAGTTACGCTCCAGAAACGAACAGCACCCTTATAGAACCTACGTCCAAGTTGTTGCAATGGAAACGTAAAAAAAATAAAAATTTATAAAATTCATAAATAGCAAAAGGCACCAGTTCAGTATGTGCCTAGTAGACATGCAAAGATTTGTAAGAAAGTATTTAATGGTTTTTGAGTTACGCTCCGGAAACGAACAGCACCCTTATAGAACCTAAGTCCAACTTGTTGCAATGGAAAGGTAAAAAATAAAAATTTATAAAACTCCTAAATAGCAAAAAGCACCAGTTCAGTATGTGTCTGGTAAACATGCAAAGTTGCGTAGAGAAATATTTAACGGTTTCTGAGTTATGCTCCGGAAACGATTTCGGGACGCACACACGCACACGCACACGCACACGCACGGACGGAACCCATTTCTATATCCCCCGCCAACTTAGTTGGGGCGGGGGATAATAAATATTCATCTATATGTCTGTTATTATAGCAATCTTATTAGAATAGTCTAAGTACTAGATTGTCACTACTACTATAGTAGGTTTTGACTCACTAGACTACTAGACTACTTGGCGGCAACTAACTGTTGGATTGACAGTGAAGAGGGCGTCTGATTGAAGCCAAAATACAGGATTTATGGCAGATATGTAATAGAGGTAGAAGTTTCATAATAAAATCCACTTACCTGTTTCTTTTTTATTTTCATTGTTTATGTAATTGGAAAAATTATTTTCAAAAAACATTATAAATAGTATCTGTCATCACCCATGTCCCGATAACAGTGGCTGTTCGCTCAGAAGAAATACCTCTGTTTTCAAAGCTTGGTATGACTGCCATGTAACACACCCACCCATAGAAAGCTTATTTTCATCTACATGCTATTTTATTGGATAAAAATTGGTTTCTAATGACGCTTTCTTGCCAAAATCTGCAACAAGATTTGTGATTGATCAAATTTGAGTACGTGACCTCAGGCAGTCAATCAAATTACAGCAACAGTACCATCCTCGTGTATGATAAATTTCAGATTTTGACGAAAGGTTTTGGTTGTACTGAACGTTTTAAGCAGGAAATTGCAATCTATGTTTAAAATATGAAACTTTGTGGATGTATTGTGCTAGATTACGAGCTGTGACAAAGAATTTTCATGCATATATTTTGGCATTAAACATCGCGTCCAAGCTGAGAAATCGATGCGACGATAGCCATGATGTCATTTGACTATTACACGCAATCGCACTAAAATATGGAAATAATAACTTAGATGTAAGTTTGAAAACTTTATATATTCATTTTTGTTGATGTTATGATGTTATTAATTACTTTGTATAATATATTCAAAGATTTGTTTGAAACGTCATTATGTTGCTCTTGTTCTTGACATGTTCAATGTGGACCCACTGTCGAAGTGTGTGCCCGAGAATTTTATTTTCAATAACATTGCGGTAAATAGTGAATCATTTTTTAATCTATCGACAAAAAATGATAAATTGAAATGGACCATGTATTTCAGACATTGTGAAATGTGATAGATTTAATAAATAAATGATATGACAGGTAGGTTAAAAAAATTATATACTATTTTGATGTGACTACGACTTGGCCTGTGTAGTACCGGCCTGCGGTGTATAGTGACTCAGGCTTCTTGGCCGTTGTACCGGCCTACAGTGTTAAAAGAGTTAAGTGTGCCATGGGGGCACTCAGGTAAGGAATTCACCGTGCCATTACAGTTTTAGGTGTTCTCTCGGCACGATGGCACTAATAATTTCGAAGCCTGCATTATGATCATTTTAGTCTCAAAATCAAGAGACTTACTCATCGCTGCTTGCAGATCCCACATGTGAAGCTGTTTCTGACAGTTTATTGCGTAGTACAGGGACTTTTGACAGCTCCATTTCATCCTGTTCCATCTGAAATGTTAAAATATATAACATTTCATTAATAACTTACAACAATACCAGTGAACTACCCCAATTTGCAAAAAAAAACACCTTCAGTACATTAATCTGTGCACGGTAACCTCTCCTTTCCAGACATCCCCCAGATATACCTTACCCAAAGTTTCCACCATCATAATTATGTTTACCAGTAGATTTGAATCTATTGCATTGAGCAATTAATGTAATGAGACTAACTAGGAGACGTTTTTTTAGGCCTGCCATGCCCAGGTCACATTGCAACCCCAATCATTTGATGGTACTTGTCTCAGTCGAAAAATTACAATTTTGTATCTGCCAAACAATGGGGCAACTTGAGATATTGTTATATCGTACCCATAATTCACCATTTTGTCTGTTCACTGAGACATTGCCTCAGAGGCTTTTAACCATGTGCTTAGCTCAATTGCATTAGTGATTGTGAGTTCCCCTATAGTCGACCAGACTTTGGCTCCTGTGTGCATGTGCATCATGTGTGGTTCATGCATCATGTGAAATTTCATTTGGATTTAATGCAATGCCACGTTATTGTAAATGTACACCTCCACAATCACTATATTTAACTTTATTAATTAACTACGTTTATGTAGGTGTAGGTTACTCTAATGTGTGAAAGTGGTTAGATTGATGTACTATGTTGTTATATTAATGGATGCTCATGCATAACAATGTTTACTAAAAGTAGCAAGGTTTGTTGTCTGTCATAAGCTTCATCTGTTACTAGTGGATCAAACAAAAGGTAATTATGCAGGTGGTAGGCTCAACATTTCAAAGAAGGGGATGGTAACTTGTCGTCACTCCACAGTTAAGTCATCCCCTCACTGTCCTGGTTGAGAAGTAAACCGTAACTGGGCAATGGTAGTGTCAAAAGTTCTTGTGCAGTACTGGTGTGAACTCAACATCCCACATATTCTAGCACCTTTGGAAGGATGTCTCTTCCATGTTTGGTTTAAGATCCTGCATGAGATGGTAAGGTTCAGAGAACAAGTGCCCTGCTTTATAAATCACATGAAAGTTGCATCTTGTCTAGGTTAGTAGAGTAGAAGAATAACTCTGTTCTGGATCTAAGTGTGGGTAAACATGACCTTCCTTTCCACCAAATCAACTGAGTCACATGTAGCATGTGATGGTCTGAGTCTGAAGGCCTTCTATCATACCTCCCAACAATAAGTCAGCAATGACTGACACGAGCTGCATATGCAACACTGAGTGCACTGATGTCCAGCTTCTTGAACACTGACTCAGTCATTTGGTGAATAGGCAGTTGATCCATATCAATGTTAGAAACTGGCACTTGTCCTGTAGTCCTTGCCAAAGTGCCCAATAGTTAAGGTATCATAAGGACAAGTAGAAATTTGCCATTTCTAAGGGTTTTGCTATATGTTATCATTATAAGGACTAGTGGACTTAAAATGTTAGTTTCTACCGCTGCATATCTGAGTGGAAAATGACGTGTCTACCCTGGTTACCTTGGGACCAGCTGTACATTTGTTTGCACTCCATGCGACTACCGTCAGATGTCCTGTTCTCGTTATCTGAAATGATGGGTCACCATGTCCATTCGCCTTCCTGGTAGGAGAGAGATTTCCGTCTGTGATCACAATGGTGGGTCGTCATCCTGGGCCCACTCCTGTGCTATAATAACCTTGTGTACCATTTCGGTCTTCCTGTCGCAAACGGCTCAGATGTGGCAATATAATGTTTCCTTTGGGGATTTGATGGCTACTGGTCCACCTTGACAAATTCCAGCAAAGTGCTCTCTCTCGGGAGGTAGCGTGGCTGTTCCGACCATTTTCTCAGGTGCGGGGGTCTGATCCTTACAAAACGGTAAGTGGTCTTCCTTGACTGCAACCAGTGGTGTTGTCTTCAGTGAGACACTGTAGTTTTTCACTTCATATAAAACAATCTATGTATGATATTATTGATTTTTTTTGCCTCCGTAAAATTTTCATAGGGAAGTTGAATGAACAGTTGATAAAAAAATAAAAGTGTGAAATTTGTGATAAACATGACATGGCAATTAAATTGTATGTCCTATTCTGCTAGGCATTGTTTCTTATGCAGGGACTATTAAGATTACTGAAGTGAAAACCCTCAGAGGACCTAATCACCATATTGTTTGCGGATGTAATATTACTACATTACTGTGCGTCTTTTCTCATAAGCTAAGCTAGAAATAGCAATCAGCTGTACACACATTTTCTCAAGGGTGATTCAGTTGAAAGATACTCAATTACAAAATTGTACAGAATATTGCATGGAATAAATTGTATCTGAAACTACTATTACATCAGGAATAATATATTCTAATATATTATTTTGGTTGCAGCTTTTACCATATATATATTCAAAATAATAACAGCACAAGCATAGCACTTTGGCACAGTTGATTGCTATTGCCAGGTATTTTGTATGCATGGAAGAACTACAGTAGGCCTCAGTTTCAATTGCAATAACGTTATGTTGGCAGATATGCCACATAGTCAAACAAATATGACTTTAACAAGTCAGTGTGTGGCATTTATGCACATGCATCCAGTCTCTGTCAACTGAAATTCATTTCAAGATGTCAATAGTGGTAATCTGATCATTCGAGCTTCTAAAAACATTTTACCCTGAACAAATCCCAGCATCACCATGGTCACCAACCAAACAAGTGGGTCTCTCACAGTAATCCTGTGAGTGTGACCTTTCACGACTTGATCACTTGACTACCCCTTAAAGTTGCAACTTAAATAACACGATACTGGACTATATTATTCACGATAAAATAATAGTTTCAGATAGAATACTTCCGATCATTGCATCAAAATTCTTTGAATTGATATTAGTGGGTATTTTTTAACTGGAGCATAATACCTAAAGTACTCACGGAAATGAAAAAAACCCTGTTTTTCTCAATTTAAAAATCGACACAAAGTGTTACGTAGCTGTTAATACGAAAAAACAAAACAACTCAAAAAGTACTAGTCTGGATTTGCACTAGGTGTCATAGGTCACCTTGATCTACTTACACCTGGTTATGCCCTGTTTCACAATAGTCTGTTTTATTCACATTTTTACACACTTTTATGTGTAAAAAGGCATAAAAACATTTGATACGCTGTATTTGTGCCACAGCCCAATTAGTACTAATTTAGTTGTTTGAATATTTACATATTTTGTATATTAACTGCATTTATTTAAGATCTGAGGTCGAAAAAAAAGGGTTTTTTTTCATTTCCGTGAGTACTTTAGTTATATTTTATCTCAAATTACACATTTTTATTGACTAAGCTTGTTACCACCTGTTTCTTCACCACCTGTTTCTTCACCTGAATTCACTGAAGGGATATGATGTAGTTTTTTACTGCACATAATACTCGGTAATTTTCATTTTAAATGATGAATCCTAGTAAAATCCTAGATATTTTTTATATTTGTATACTTATCCTTCATTGCTCCTTAATGCATATTACTGCTTGTTCTTTGCAGAGAAAAGAGCTGTGTGAAGGTCTTTGCTTGAAGAAGTTGCTCCAACTAGCTGAGAGGCCAACCCATCACACAGCTCCCACGTGACCAAAGGAAGTGACGTCACGGATCCTCACATTACTCTGGAGTCCGAAACATCGGAAGGCATTGTGGGGAGGTAGATCTGCGATGGGTGGGTCCCTTTAGACGCCGTAATGCAGGATAAGTATACAAATATAAAAAATATCTAGGATTTTACTAGATTTTTTACTTATCCTGCATTACTCCTTAATGCATCTTTATCGGACGGAACCGGAGGCGACCATACCTTCAGATGTGGACTTTCATCTTTTATTTCTAGACTCTGTTCCCTAGCCAATCCTTGGCTGTGTGGTTGGCTTCGGGTGACCACTCCATGTATGGGAACCTCCAATTCCCTTAGCCCGTCCTCTGCTGTGTGGTCGGCATCAGGTGACCACTCCATGTATGGGAAACTCTGTTTCCCTCAGCCAGTTTTTCGGCTGTATGGTCGGCCTGGATGACCATTACATGGAAGGGAAGAGTCAGGAATGTTTTGTGTCCTGGTACTGGTACTGAGCAGCCTGACAATAACGCTCGGTTAGGTCGAGACTGGAGCACCGAGCCGTATGCAAATGAGGCATGAACCTTCTATTCCAGGGCTCACGCGAGGGGAGGTCGAAAGGCCGGCTCTGGACTTGGAGGCGTAGTCAATGATGTGCAGTACTGGTGATTTTCTGGGCCACTACTAACAGACCAAAGATGTGCGTGCCTTGCACATCCTCCAATGCGACGTCTCGCAGGTAGTGACTGGTGAAGACCGTGTTGGATCGCCAGAAACATCCCTCCATGATGGCGCGTAGAGAGCAGTTGCTGTGTAGCGCCATGGTGGAGGCGACTGCCCGGATCTCATGCGGGTTGTTGGAGCATGGGGGGTCCAATCCCGTGGCCTCATAGGCCTGGAAGATGATGGCTCATAGCCAGAGGGCGATCATGTTGCGGCTGACTTCTGCTCGCGTGGTCGCAGATACCGGTACGAAGAGGCATCGTCGTTGTCTACAGCTTTCCTTGGATCATCGGATGTAGCAACGAAGTGCTCTAACCGTACATAGACGGAGCTCTAGTTCATCTTCCGCGCCCACAATCGATGAAAGACGGGGGATGAAGAACGATCTATCGAGCTGGCCTGGGAGCTGATCCTTTGCAATGAAGTCCCAGCACAGGCCCAGATGCATGGCTCCGTGTGCTCCCTGCTAAAAGTGGACCCGTGTGATGTCTAGGGCGTGTAGCTCACTGACACGGGCTGCTGTGGCGAGCGCCAGTAGGAAGACCGTCTTTTTCATCAGATTGTAGAATGACGACGTTTCGAGTGGCTCGAAAGGCGCATCTCTCAGCGAGGTGAGAATGACGTTCAAGTCCCAAACTGGTGGACGGAACTTCGCCTTTTGGTCTTCCAGTCTGAATGAGCGGAGCAGTGCCTGGAGTTTCAGGGATTTTCAGCATGC